GTTGACACCCTTAAGCGTTCAAAGGTACTTCCTTCAGAAACGTTGTCGTTTTCATCCGCCAGTTATCTACCACCCAGTGTTGGTCCCAAAACCGACGCGACACGGCCTCGGGAGACTGCAACGCCGGACGTCGAAGGGTTTCATTGTAAGGCTTGTGAGCACGCATGGCCAAACCTGGGCTATGTAATTCTTCCTCTGCGTGACTCTCAGCAAATTTGAGCATTCTGAGACCAAAACGTGTTGATGTAAATGCAAAATTACGAGCTTGCTTCGATCTAAGATCCACGTTTACGGTGTCCACGTACAACCCAGAAACATTCGGCATAGCCCGTGCTATCACGCGGCCTGCAATTACAAGCCTGTGATGCACGCAGGCCGTGCAATCGACTTAGAAAGAGTCCACTAAAACATTGCAACATGGATAGCACCGTTGTGTTTCCTTCAGTTTAGGGACTTCGAAATGCTAACAGCGTTGTATCTATTCATGACTCCTGGCTTTAAATGACAGGGCTTACCTCGAAATCAAGTGGGCCATATTTGATGACTTCTTTTTTTGGGTGGGAGACTTTTCCGGCAGCGAGATGGCTTGGTCAACCCTGTGTCCCACCATCCAATTACCAAAACTCTGGCTGCGTTCCTGCGTCATTACGCTCATTGGGCACCGAGTATGCGTGCGCAAGTATTATCGTATGGTAGCTGAAAAGAAAGCTCAACTAGCAGCGATGCCACAATAATGCTGTATTACGCATGAAATTGGTATGACCGGTGACTTGACCGGTGACAGGTGACTGTGACCGGAAACTTTCACACGCTCGAAGTAAGTCAGGTGATGATTGCTTTCCCTTCAGAAGCACAACAGCTTGGAGTGGCGTACCCCAGACGTGCAGCTGGCTCACATTTCGTGTTTATTGAAAAGGGCGAGGAAAAGGCACTCTCAACAGGAGGGCATCCACTTAAGCGTGTATGCAGAAGGGCTGAAAACCGTGTTTTTAACTTTTACGTGAAATGAACATCACCAGCATTTCACATGGATTCGTTAACATAAATATTCACAAAAATGCATGTCTTACCGATGAAATTTTGGTGCATTTGAGACGCAATAAGACGAATGTGAGACATATGAGACAAATGAAGAGCATTCTGGCTTACACTGACATTTTGATTGACAACAGAGCTAAGTGTGCAAAACGTACTTTCCTTTCTTGACGTGACTGTCGATGGACAAGGACAACAATTCAAAACGACCGTATACCGAAAACAGACTAACAACGGACGGTGAATGTCCTCGATGCTACAAAATAAGCGTCATAAGGTCCTTCATTAGACGAGCATTTAACCACTGCTATGATTGGACAGGACTACACTCAGAATTGATAAGAATCAGACAGATATTGGTGAACAACAGTGTATTCAAATTCTGACGTTGAAAACGAAATACGACATATGACAAGACACTCTGACAGCAAACCAAGACAAGACATCCAGCCAACCGTCAAACCATATCAAAATCAAATGACATCTGCCCACAAACAAGACGAAAAAGCTTTACCGGAAATTATCCCTCGACATGTTAAAGGCAAAAACGACCACAAAATAGTCACTTATCATCGTAACAAGAAAATATCTAACTTTCTTTTGAGGAACAGCCCAGACAAACCCGACACACTAAAATGCACCAATATAGTGTATCAATTCAAATGCCACATCGAAGGCTGCAAACTTCGCTTCATACACTTTATTGGTGTGGCCACGACACTGTCACCACGCCTGACAATGCACTTACGTGACGGGGCCCCTCCGCACCACATGCGACACGAACACGACATGACATTGACAGGACAACAACTGACAGACAACACTGACATTTAACGGACGTGCAATGACAGAAGACGCATTTAAATTTGGGAAGGCATATTCATTAACAAACTCTCTCCGGCCCTAAACAGACATACAAAATCTTGCGCAACTCTTGAACTATTAGGTGGTGGGCAGTGAGCTCTATTGATGCGATCGTGGCAATAGTGTTCTCACTGTGTCTTTGTGGTGAATCCATTATGAGGGTTTTTTATATGCATCAAAGTGAAAATAGGATTCTGTCTTACCTCAGTTATGCTTCATTTATGTTCTCCGTACCAAAAGATGCTTTCCAACAGTAGTGCACAATTTTATCCTTAACTAGAGCACTACATACGAGATCCGAGAATTCTTTTGCCCCGCCCCTTTCTGACGACTTCCGCAACCCCGGGGCCGCTCCAGATATTTTCAGAAATCCACACCCATGGATGGCAGTTCCTTACAAGCCAAGTTAAAAGCACCGACGCGTTTCAATTCGCCAAGATTTATGCCAAAAATGAACTTTTCCCCATGTTCACTTACCAAAGCAGCGAGGTGATTCCACGGCCCAGCTCCTTCCTCCACCCCGCCGAACTGTCCCCTGTACTCTAGCGCTACCCACTGCCACAGCGACTCGCGCGTACTTCACCAGGCCGTGGCTCCGCTGAGCGCCGGCCCCACTGCGCGATCACCGCGCCGAGCCGAGCCGTGGCTCTGCGCGCACCGATTGTGCTGCGCGATCACCGCACCGAGCCGAGCCATGGCTCTGCGCGCACCGGCTGTGCCGCGCGATCACCGCCCGAGCCGAGCCGTAGCTCTGCACGCACCGGTTGTGCTGCCCAATCACCGCGCCGAGCCGAGCCTTGGCTCTGCACGCACCGGCTGTGCCGCGCGATCACCGCACCGAGCCGAGCCGTGGCTCTGCGCACACCGGCTGTGCCGCGCGATCACCGCACCGAGCCGAGCCATGGCTCTGCGTGCACCGGCTGCGCTGCGCGGTCACCGCGCCGAGGCCATCCACGCCGGCCCTCGCTCCGCCTCGATCACCTGCTGCTCTGCTGCAAGCCCTGTGAAGCAAATTGGAACATCTGTTCCGGATAGGATTAAAGTGACCGCGAAATTCCCTCTCCCCCATTATGGAAGCTGCTCTGCGTATGCGAACCTAATGCAAATGGTAGATTTTGTCGGTATTCATACCGAATTAAGATGAAAATCAGCCGGCACCGGGAGGGCAGGGGCCCAGACGGATCATGGAGCCCTTGGGCAGTCAGAGCCCTCGCGGACTTATCCAAGTGCATGTACAGGCGTGCCGGATCTTGGAAATCAAGGACCCGGATTCAAACAGTTGGCACGTTAGGCTCCGGACGTTTCGGAGGATTCGGGCGCCCGGCCGATGTCCACCATTTTTGATGTAAAGGTCTCGCTTTGCTGGCCGGCGCTTCTCGCCAGTCCTCACCGTGAAATATCACATTGCATATTGAGGCCACATCCATGTATCGTGGTTCAGCGTAATGCACACTTGCTCCGCCTGCCACACGGTGTGGGTGCCGGCCCGGGAGAGTTCGTTTAGCGTTCATCGCAGAGCGACCCCGGCACAGTGCACCAGGAGGGGAAGAAATATGTTTACTGTACATTCGTATTTTATCAATAGCCATATTCAGACTCGAATGCTTCCCATACTTAATCCATTACTCTCCAGTTGCAAACAGGGCCACTCGCTTTGGAAGCATCCCGAAAAATGAATTAAAATTAATCGTTTATTTTACACAAGTCAGATTTCCGCATGCAGTCACTTGCAAGCACATGAAGGACCCCCTCCCTCCCCCACCACGTAAAGGTCGCAGAGTCCCGCCCTCTTGGCCCGTCCCCAGGAACCTATCCCAGAGTGGCCATGGTGCGGAGTGCCTCGAGCGGCCGAGAACCACGGCTTACACAGGGCTTGCGCCGGACTGAAACAACCCTTTCCATCGCGCATGCGGACCACTCCGATATGGCATCTGGAACACCTGATTCGGATCTCTTTCCATCGCTCGGTGGCCGGCCTCGGGCTTCCCAAGACATCACGGCCGCCACCTGCCATCTAGCGAGAGTTCTTCGAATCAGCTGAACCTTCGTGCCGTTTGCAGCCGAGGCCCGCGCTATACACAGAGGAGTCGACCGCGGAACGGCACACTAGCGTCGCACCATCGTGGGTGAAAATGCTTGCTAATCTCCTGACCTCCGCTGATCTGATCTCCGCGTCCGCCAAGGCACAGCCAGGCGAAACGGTTCCTTGTGTGCTCAGATCCATTTGAGCCACTTTGTGAGAGCTACTTTGTATTTCAGGTGTCTTGGGGGACTCGTGGCTTCTTCTGTATCTCCAAAGTACGGTCCAAACCGTATTTGGACCGTATTTTTGGACCGAACTCCAAGTACTAACATAACTGACAAATCGCCTTGTGGAAGAGTGTGACGCAATGTCTCGTCCACGTCATACGTCATTCGCTGAGCTCCCGTTCACTCTAAAATTGACAGTTGTGAAAAAGGCCCGAGTACCGCTCGTCGCTCATTGCCTCGTTGCCCCGCCACTCGTCTCCAATGACGCCGGAAGTCTAGTGCTGCCTCTGACACCGACTGCTATGAAAATGTGTTATGAGTGCTTCTGTCACGGTCCCCTCTTTAGTTTTGAAAGCCTCCTCTGTTCTCAATCCTATTTCTGTATCCTTGGGAAACCATTTGTTATTTTTATCGTCTTGTCATCAGTGTCCCTTGTCTGCATCACAGAAGTGACGTCAAAGCAGCGATTGCTGAGCTTGGGCCACGTGGCCATCCATGTCAGCCAATGTGAGCAGACCACATCACCAGCAAGTAGTCAATGTACGATCTGAGTAAACCGCGCGATGCTGGGCTATAACGCATACTGGCATGGGTCACGTACACCAGACCACAGCCGGTCACTCTTAGGTAATCACACCTGTCAACGGACAGTCATCTATATGGACACGTTATGTATACATATACATATATATATATATATATATATATATATATATATATATATATACAACTTGCATATGTATACGCCATGTATATGTCAACGTTATGCATACACATGGGGCAATCTTGTTTTCGTCGCCTCAAATGCGGCACGCAAAAAAACGCCACTCACACACACACGTACCATCGTGTGAAGAATATATGCACTGTATTTCATCGACTCGATGCGGTACCAACCATGCACGCAATGCAGATCAAGCTTCAAAAACACAGCATTTGTCCCAATCACACGTTCGAATTTCTATACAAAACAAACAAATTAGGCGTCACCTGGTGCGTGTATAAAGCAGCAGCGATTGTCAAGAATCCCCACATTCCTCGTCGTCGTCTTCGGGCTGGGGGTAGCCCAGCAGCCTGTTGTACACCTCGGCCGACTGGAAGGCCGAGTCGATTAGTATCAGCTTGCCCTGGTCTGACCGGTACAGCACCTTTTTCCACGGCAGAATATTCGACGCGTTCTCCACGCGGCTGACGGCGCCGTCTGCCAGCGTCACGTGACGCAGCGTCACCACCAGCGGCCCTGTGAGCACGGCGCGGAACTCCCGCCGCGCCGCGCTGTGGTACATCCGGAACGGGTAGCGCCACGCCAGCACCAGCAGGCTCGGCGAAATCAGCGCGTACATGCCGACCACCAGCAGCAGCGGCGCGTTGGCCGCCAGCAGGGCGGCGGCGGCGGCCGGCTTGGCCAGCACGCCGACGGCAGCCAGGAGCAGCGAGCCGGCGCCGGCCGCCGCCGCCGCGCGCACGTACCACTCCATGGGCGCCAGGTACACCAGCCGAAAGCCGGCCGGCATGCCGTCGCGCTGCCGCCAACGCTCCTCGCTGCGCGGGTTACCCAGACGGCGCATGTGGAGCGTGCGGGCGACCGACAGGCGGAGCGGGGCTGGCATGGCCGCCGACGGCGCGATGTGACAAGGCGCCGCCAGCCGGCCGCCCCAGCCGAAGAGGAGCGCGGCCACGCCCGGCCGGCGCGCGGCGCAGATTCCGGTCACGAGCACCGCCATCGGACTGGCCGCTCAGCCGTCGCTGACCTTGTGTGGCCCGTTCTGACGCACGCTGGCTTGGTATCACATACGCTGTGCGTACATCACAAGTCTAGAGGATGCAACGAATGCGACCGCTTCTTTTTGCAGCATCGATCTATGAAAAAGGGCATTTTCCGTCAGACAAAAACTACGCATTCAACAAAATGTACAACTTAATGCTGGAAGCAATTCCCTACAGCGGATTGATGGCGCATCCAAATTTACCATGATGTCGAATTACATGGCAGAATTTGGGAAACGGCTAAACATGCTATTCCATCGGCCATTTCATGCGGCTGATCGCATGAGCGGTCCAAAAATAGCGCACAAGCGTAGCACGAGCTAACGTGATGGTCTTCCTCAGGCTTTTCATTACAATGGAGGCTGAGGGGGGGAGGGGGGGGGGGGCGGGGGAAGGTGGAGGAGGCCAACAAATTGTAACGGCCCAGGGATAATTGCCAACGATCGTGAGAACTCAAAACCATTCCAAGACCCTACGTCCAATGACCGTGAAGGCGCTTGGATACTTGGCTTGTAGGTCCAAGAGCCAAGTTCAAGGGGTTCTTGGCTGTTTTGGTGTCCTGACTCCCCCCCCCCCTTTGCGTAATCCGCAGGCCCTTGGCCATCTCCGGGACCCTCGAACCTCGCTTGTTTTGGGCCCTACGATGCCTACGAGCCCCAGCCACGACTATCGCGGGGCCCCTTAGTTGTACTGAGCATGAGAGTTCTCAAGAAATCACCGCTCATTCCTGGTCCTTTAACATCTGAGGTTCTATTTGGGGTGAGTTCACCACTTTCTAGTTCCTTGCCGCGCTCAGGCCCTTTAGCTATTTTGGGGCTTGACCGCCGTGAGGTTCCTTGACCAACTGGCTTTTCGACATCTAGGGTTACCATGTCTTTTCAATGGATGGTGGTCAGTTCAAGGCACTTCAGAAATTTTTGAGTATTTACGGCATTGGGTTCCTTTGCAACCATGTGTCACTTCATTGTTTTGGGGCCTTTGAAGTTTGGGAGCTCTTTAGCTGCCTTAGGAATTGAACACCAGGTTTTCTTGATCTGGCACTCAAGTATCTCAGGACTGTTCAAGCACACTTGGCCAATGCCTTTGTATGGAGAGTTCATGTTTACCATAGTATCCCAATATGTTCCAAATTGGTATCCCCACTGTCACATGTGCACAGATTTCTGCATTCCTTGGGCTTAGATAATACAGCCAGCAAGATTCTCCCATGCATTGCTGTCTGAATGGCTCACATCAAGTGCAGCTCGCTTGCCCACCCCTGTGGGGGGGGGGGGGGCGTGAGTGGCAGTAGCCTGTGGTACTCCCATTCAGGTATGGAAATTGAGGAGAGTAGCCTAATATATGTGCTATCACTACCTATGAAACCCAGAGGCACAGCCAGCACATGTGACACTGAGACTCAAAAGGCAAGGAAACCAGCAGGTTAACTAGCAGTGTAAATGGTCAAATAATATACATAGTGGACTTGGATTTCATGGGTTTCAAAAATAGTATCAACTGGTCTCAGTTCATAAGATAATCATGACCATGCAGCAACCATCTAATGTATCTCAACAAAACCCTGCAGGTGTGTGCTGCAGAACTAAGTAGTAATAAAACTAACAACTACTAATGATATATGTTGCTCACTAACTTGATAAAATAAGCCATGAACAACCTATGATTCAGCAGATATATGGAGAGATCTTGGCCTTCAACCCAGCACCGCATTCTGCCACTTCCATTTAAAAAGAAAGGAGCACATTATTTCTGCTTTCATCCTTTCCATGTCAGCACAGTATCTGAACTTTGGTTATGGCTTTTGGGAAGAGAACAAAAATTCTAAAATCAGGCCATGTGGTGATAACAAAATAACCCAGGTGAATTTGCATGCATTCACAGCTGGCACTGATTGACATTCTCTGGCAGCAGATGACCGCTAACACCAGGCTCCAGCTGGTCTCAGCAATTACTAAAGACCTTTTAAGATTGGCTGCTTGCAATTCTCAAATTTTCTAGCTCCCTGAGTGCCTCTTTCCTAAGTCCGTGCTCACACCTGTATTTCTTGAAGCCATGGAGCTGACACAAAATTGTTAATCTTGACAATTCTATCATAAAGGTGTGAGTCCCAGGCAAGGCTGATAGAAACCAATGCTTAAAACATTGAGCATCTGTTGCACAATTCCCCATGGCACATTCAAACACATCATCAGTTGAAAGGCCATGCAAGGAACAATATAAATAGGAGCATCTGAGGCATAGCAGTCTGTGTAGCAATCTTCTAGCCGAGGTACAACCTCTCTCACCTCAAGGAGACTCTGGGGCAATGTGATACCCACCTAAGCTTTTACTGACCTAGCTTTACTTAATTTGGGACCAGGGATGTAGTTACCTATTAAGTCGGATGGGATGCTAGCCCCTCCCCCAAGTTTGAGAAGAAACTTGGTAAAAATCTGGGAGAACATGATTTGCACCATTCACTTTGGATTACAGATCTATCCGCCCACCCGCTCCAGTTATGTAAACAAAAAACTACACCATCTAGCGCGCCAGGCTACTGCGTGATCTAGGCTCAGAGGTCAACGCAGTAAGAGCGGAGTTGTCCTCATATAGCGAGCCAGCCGTACAAGCTAGTATCTCTGCATCCACTCACCGACACTGAGTCTAAAACAATACTTTCCTCAGTGTATAACAACGAGCTGAACTTACATATTGCCTCTACCCATGCTATCAACCAACCAACCCACCACGGCTCGGAACGCGGCTTTTTTCTTTTTTTTGGTGGGCCAATACAGAGGCCCTTTTCTCCGTCGACGGCCCAACGCCATCTCTTATGGGGGAGGGGGCATGATTAGCAAGTAAGGTAAACCACAGCTATATACATTTATTTCACCACCACACGACACACATTCAATGCCCTTGAACAAGTAAGCTCTTCGCCGGCCTTTTTGTCAGGCTCCTCCAGTGAAGCGAGTCCTGGGTATGTTCCCGGTGACAGCAGATGCGTTCTCTCGGCTGACTTGTCGGCAACGTGTGCGGTGGACAGACGCCGGGCCGCTTCATGGCATCGAGGAGAGTAGCCCGGGTTCCGCTGCCCGACGCGACCTTGTGGTGCTGTCTGATGATTGGTCCTGGAAAGTCCTAACTAAGAAAAAACAGGACTGCTATCCAGCAGAAGAAACCTGCAATTTTCGCCGAATTATGCATGGCAAAACTCTGTAGTAAATGCAATTATCAAATCCTGTACAGTGTACAAATTCGAAGAGAACGATCAAGTCAGGATAGGAGTCACCAAGGAGAGAATGGAGATTGAATGGGAGCCGGTTAGCGATGGTGTGATTGATGCGCGGTTGTCTTGATTCCTGATATGCCGGGCACATGAGCAGGAAGTGATTTATCGTGAATTGTATGTCGCGACGACGGCATAGCGGAGGAATGCGCTCAAAAAGGTGGTAGTGGGTGATGTTGGTGTGACCGATATGAAGTCTGGCAAACAGCACTTTCGTGAGGCGATTGTCTTGATTAATTGTTAACCAGTACTGAAGCATGGGTTTAATTGGATGAAGAAGGTGGTGTGCGCGTTCGTGCCAAACAGATTGGAGAAAGAAATGAAAACGCGAATGGATGACTCCGAGAATATCGGAAACGGGACAAGGAAGATGACTGCGTTCCGGTAACGTAAGACTTCGTTTTGCTTCCTCGTCAGCGATGTTGTTTCCATGAACGATTGAGTGTCCATGTATCCATAGAAATATTTTGTGAGCTTGTTGAGACAGGGAGCAGAGCGTTTCGACTTTACCGTTTGTAACTGGATGGGATGAATTATGAAGTGCCATGAGGGCGTGTAGCGACGAATGGGAGTCTGCGCATTCGGCCGCCCTTTGTATGTTACCCTTTTTGATGTGTAGCAGGGTAGACAGGATTGCTGTTAGCTCAGCCGTATACGCAATGTTGTAATTTACAAGCGGTTTGATTAATGCCTGTAATGAACGAAGACAACCCCTGTGCGGCGGTGACGTCGGGAGCCATCAGTATATATTTAGGTGTGCTGGTCGTGTTCCTCTTTGAACTCAGCGAAGAGTGCACGCACCTCGGTTTATGACGCCCTTTGATTTTGTTTGTTTAAACAGAAGTATTTCATTTGGTACAGGGCGGTCCCAAAAGGATCGGGGGCTGGGCGTTGGGCTGCAGGGAAGCCCGGGAGATGAAGCGCTCGTTGCGCTCGAGTAATGCGGGTGCTGATGGTTGGGTACTGGAGCTCCACGTTGGTAAGTGTGCGGTTTGGGCGGAGGTGAGCGAGGGGATTATATGTGCGGTTGCCAACGTGTGCCGTGGCGCATGCGCGAAATCTGAGACGCTGCAATTTTCTCCGGTGTGATAGGGAGGGATATTCGTGTGCGCAAGCAGATTTGGGACCGGGAAGGTGCGAAGTGCACCAGTCACTATACGGAGGGCAGCATTCTGGATGGTCTCCAGGATTACTATTTTTTGGAAGAAATATCATCAAAAAGAAAGTCATTGTAGTCCAAGATCGGGCATATCAGGAAAGTATAGTCGTGGCGGAAAATGCCGGGTCTGTCGGCACCCCACTCCCATCCCGCAAGGCAGTTTATTATATTGAGCAGCATGGCGCAACGTTGCTTAACACTCGTTCGGGTTGCAGGAAGGTCAGATCAAATTGAACCCCCTTGGAAGGTTTTTCCGGAATGGCTTCCGAACGATGCGGCGTAGCCACGCTAAATTTTGCATATCTACAGACAAATAAAAAGCAGATTGTCTGGTATCAAAAATTTAGATGTACCTTGCAAGGTCACTGATCTATGGCAGGTCAAAATCAGCCATGGTTTCAGCGGATGCAATTTATAGGGAGTCGTTCGATCTCATCCAACAACGGAGTGGTAGACGAAGCCATACAACTCTGAGATACTTTCTTAGGCAACACAACCATTGAATGAACAAATTCCATTGACCTAGGGTCAAGTATGAAGGTCAGACCAAGGTGAAAACTAACCTGCTTTATTGCTCCAGCGCTTGTTGTATGAGGTGGTCCCTGGTGCTCATTTCGGATTTATTGATCAGAGGAACCGCATTATACGCCTTCCACAGACTTCTTTTAGGTCAGAATTGGTCACTGACCTAGAATGATCCAGGTCAACATTTTATTTTTTAGGAACATCGGCCTGGCGTAATCTTTGTCGTTTATCTAAATCCAAAACTCAAAGCGGTCTTGTATAATTTTGGTCACCATGACCTTAAGAGATCAAATAAGGTCACTGACCTTAGATGAGCATATGACCTTTTTGCTCAGAACAGTTATCTAGGTTCTGGGAACCCTTTGGAGACCAACCTGAAATTTTACCTTGTTTGACCTTATTTGACCGGAAGGTCACGACCTAGGTACCTCAAACTTTGACCCGAGTGAGTTTACGTACAGGTCAACACACCCTGTGGATTTGGTGTCTCATAAATATAAACATTATCAAAAACATCATTTGCCATCACGAGAAAGAGGATTGGAGACAAGGCACTACGTGACGTATACGGCGCAGGATCACGGCCCTGCGGAAGGCCGTGATCCTGCACTGTCGTAGAAAAACATGTATTTCCACACCGCACAGAAAGCATCCTATCATTGAAAAAAGTTATTAATGAAATCGGCGAGACGACCGCGAACTCCGAATTCATGCAACTTAACAAAAGAGCACTTTTATTTAGTCTACCGAAAACGGCCTTTAAATCCCCGAAGTGTGCTACGGTACTGGATTTAGTCTGAAATCCGAGCTGAATTGAATTGATGATGTGCACCAGACTCTCCGCCATGGAGTGACCGGGACGGGAGTCATGCTAAAAAGGTGAACGAAAGTGATTCGACTCTAGGAACGCCCTGATGCGATCGTTGACCATTAGTTCGAATATTTTAGAAGCACAGCTAGTGAGAGATGGGGAGATATCTCGTAGGGTCAGGGGAGGCTTAGAAGGCTTGAGTACAGGGATAAGCGTGCTAGAGCGCCAAGAGTGAGCGAAGGATCCGCTAACCCACATATCATTAACACGCGTCCGGGTGGCCGGCTAGATACTCTAGATACTAGATACTAGATACCGGGCTCGGGTGGGGGGCGGGGGGGGGGGCAATTTGATCCCCTGAGATTTCGGGAACTAAGGAAGCCAGAGACACCATATTTACAGGGTGCGTTGACCTGTGCGTGAGTCCACTTAGGTCAAAGTTTCAGACTCCTAGGTGATGATCTTCGGGTAAAAAAGGTCAAACGAGGTCAAGTTCCAGGTTGGTCTCTGGAGTGCCCACAAAACGTAGGTAACCGTTTCTAAGCAAAAGATCACATTCTTATTCAAGGTCAGTGACCTTATTTGATCTTTTGAAGGTCAAGGTGATCAAAATACCGCAACATTGCTTTGATTTTTGCATTTGAGTAAGCGACAAAAATAACGCTAGGCAGTATGTTCTTAAAACAAAATGTTGACCAAGGTCATTTTAGGTCAGTTACCTATTCTAACCTCTAAGAAGTCCATGGAACATGTAAAATGCGGTTCCTGCTATCAATAAACTCCAAATGAGCAGAAGAAACTATTCCATACAGCAAACCATAGAGTAATGATAGGTTGGTTTTGACCTTGGTGTGACCTTCATACCTAACCTCAGGTCAATGTAACTTGCTCATTCAACTGTTCTGTTGCCTAAGTAGGCATCTCATATATGTATGGCTTCGTGTTTGATCAGTTGGATTGGATCATAGCTTCGCTGTTGAATCAGTCGAAGGATTCCCTTGAAATTACCATCGCTGAAACCATGTCCTGATTTTGACCTGCCATAGGTTACCGACCCTACAAGATACATCTAAATTTTTGATGTCAAACGATCTGCTATTCAACTGTCTACAGCTATGCAAAATTTGGCACGGCTACGCCGCGCCGTTCGCAAACCATTCTGGAAAAACCTTCGGGGGGGGGGACGATTTGACCCCCGACCCGAGCGCGTGTCAATATGCGCCTGGGTGACCGTTAGGATACCCTTTGCTCGGGCGGCGGTCAATCTGACCCCCCCCCCTGAAATCTTGGAAACTAAATGAGCTAGAAACACCAAATTCATAGGGTGTATTGACCTGTACGTGAACTCTCTTAGGTCAAAGTTTGAGGTTCCTAGGTCATAACCTTCGGGTTAAATAAGGTCAGCCAAGTTCAAATTCCAGATTCCTCTCCAAAGGGCCCCTAGAACCTAGGCAGCTGTTCTAAGCCAAATATCATACGCTCAGGTAAGGTCAGTGACTTTGTTTGACCTTTAAAGGTCATGGTGACCGACATGATATAGGACTGCATTGAGTTTGGCGTATGGATAGGCGACAAAGATTACGCTAGACAGTATGTTCTTAAAAACAAAATGTTGACCTGGGTCATTTTAGGTCAGTGACCTATCCTGACCTGTAAGAAGTCCATGGAAGGTGTTTAATGCGGTTTCAGCTATCAATATATTCGAAATGGGTACCAGAAACCAGCCCATTCAGCGAGCCCGT